CAAAACAAACAAAACCCTCGACTCATCGTACAAGCCGACAACAACATTGCAATTGAATTCAAAGTCGCCCTTTTATATCTGAATTCTGGATTAATATGGTTTCCATGGAAACAACGGGAGAACCTAAGCTTGTAATTTGAACGTCTAAATTAATATCCACAGAATTTTCAGAATCACTTCTGCTACAAAATAATGTTTTGTTTTTTACACTTTACACTACTATAAGGGAAACTTAAAACATCCCTTTAATGTATGATAAAATTGTATAATACATAACTATTAGTATCTCGCAGCCACTTGGGTTTAAAGGAACTAAAGATCTTAAGGTGCGTTTTAAAAAAGGGGTGTCAGGAATATCCAAAGAAAATATGCCACCAACCAAAATACTAACAAATGTGATTGATAATAATTCAACGAAATATTGGAACGTGACTACTATCACCAGGTTTAAAATTTCAACACGCTCATGCTCCATTTTTGGACCACAATTACCGTGTTAATTGAATTTTGTGTACGCACCTACGAAAACTGTAACAGATATTTATTACGTTCCACCAAAAAAAAAGGTGTGCAATTTTAAATGTTTCAGGTTATATAATATAGAGCGAATCTAGATCGCGCAATATCACGACTTCCGAAAGGCATTGTTGTGTCGGTAGGTACGCGCAAGGTCGCCGATAAATTGTAAAACAATATCGTTTTTGCTTTTTGGAACTTAGTTCAAGCGTGAAGTGTGTTTTATAAATTGCGTTCGTAGCGCACTTTCAATTTAAATGTAATTTGTACATGCATTTACATAATTACAATCGGTCCACGATCACTTTCGTAACGCGCTCTCTTAATCAACAATCTTATACGGCGACGGGAGAGGGAAATTTTTGTATCGTAATTGTCTTTAATTCCGGTTCACTAATTGTGATTAATTGCCATTTCTGAAACGTTTAAACGCGAAATAACTCTTTGATAACTTAATTGGGAATTGGTTGCTAAAAAGTTTACAGTTAAGCAAACGCGACGAGAAACGCCCAGCAATTTTTTTGGATGGGTGTTGATCATATATCTCTGTAACTTTTTTCTTTCAAATTTCTGACTTGAAACTCTGAAACTGTAACTTAAGCGAGGATATTTCGATTTTATATTGAAACCTAGTTTCAAGAAGAATCGAAATTTGCTGAAAGAAGGTATTGCATTATTGCTTTTTAGCGTAGACGTAAAAAAATTTCATTCTTGTTGTTATCATAGAAAAATACTAAGCAAAAGGTATCAAGAGCTCTTGAGAGAGTTTTATTGCTTGCCGCAAGGGACTAATATATGAACGCCAATGTTACTGTGCGGAAATAGGTTTTTAGTAAAAATATAAAGCTTCGTGTTTAAATGTTGCATTTTTACCATACTTCGGAAACAAAAATACTAACCCTAGAAGTCTGAACTGAAACCCCCTTCGGTTTATTTTTATCACAAAATAAAATAAATAATTCGTTCAAAAACCCTCAATGGTATTTTTTAGTTGCAATTTGAAAATTAACCAACAGAACACTTTTTCTCGAATTTGTGAATTTTATAACAAAAGGACTAACTTCCATATTAACAAGAACAAATGACAATTAAAGCATCCGGTTCTAAAATAGTAACTAGCGTAATGAACGCTACAAAGACCTCTATTGCGATAATAGGAAATGATTACACAAAATAAACAATAACAGACTTATTTATTTAATTCATGCACACGTAATTGATTTTAGGACCGACTCGTTAACTTATATCACGCTTCTGTTACATACTCAAGGATCAGATCCCAATTTTTCTAGAATAATATAGTCCAAGATACGATCAAAGAACAAGTTTACTTAAATTTGTATGGCTGATTCTATCCTACTCTAGTCTTTTCATTTCTACATCTCTACCCTTGCTTCCTCCCCTAACTATTTGGTCTACACCTCTTTTGCCCTCTGCCTACCATTCTATCTCGTCGTCTCGGTACGGATTTACACCTTTCCATATATCAACCTGTACTAGCTGTAACATTGCTTCGTTTGTTACCCTATCCATTTCATCCAATCCTCATTATCCTTCTATAGCACCACATTTCAAATATTTCTATCCTACTTTTGCCTTCCCTGCGTATTGTTCGGGTTTCGATTCCGTGTAGAGCTACATTCCATAAGTACGTTTTAGGACACTTTTTCTAATATTCCTATATTTATCCCTGATCATAGCAGGTCCCACTTTTGTTCAAATGATTTTTTGGTGTGTGTTATCCTTGATCTTCCTTGCTACGATTATCTTGTGTAACCTTTACTACCTAAATAACAAAGTTCCTTTACATGCGTTAAAGTCTGGTTCCCTATTAGGATCTTTATCTTTTTCCTATCCTCTCAGGAATCCACAAAAAGCATATTTGAGTCCAGGCAAATTGGACTTTTTACAAAAAAGAGAATTGCTCAAGAAGCTAAAAAAACTCCAAAAACGACTTCGGTAACATTGAATTTTCTAGTAAATGTTCATAATTTGTTTAAATTTTGGCAATTTGTCAAAAACTGATTTCAGCATTCGATTCTACGGAAAAAATACAAAAGAACCTATTATTTCACTGTTTGAATTTGTTTTGTTTGTTTCTTTATAGTAGCATCTACCATAAACAATTAAGGTCTCATAATAGAGCTTCATATGAATACGAGAAATAACAATCTTTTCCATTTCGTTGCACAGTTTTGCAAATTTATTTGTACTGAGGGTGAAGTGAAAACTTCAAACGCAAATTGCGGGTCAACGGCGCGTCGGAGTACCGACAAAGGAATGTGGTAACCTGGTAGCCCACTGATGGTAGGGTCAAAACTTCAAACGCGAATTGTGAGTCAACGGGATCTCCAAAGTGGGAATGTGGTTGCCTCCGACAAGAACTTACTGATGGTGGAGTCAACGGGCAAATAGAATACTGATCTGCCTCAAAAACTTAGGTTTCATTAATGTTGGTAGATGTATGAACAATTTGGTATCAAATTAGGTACGTAAAAACCTATTTGTTTTCCAATTATTTTATTCTGGACAATTTTCATTTTTACAAAATATAATAAAAAAATATCACTCTAATCTTGCTTTTTTCGTCATTTGAAGAACTAAATCGATACATCTGCAGAATTTTAAATTTCCCACTACTAATAGTTTCATGTCAATTGACAAACTTTGCATTGCAGAGTAGTTTGGATAGTTTTGTGATAAACATCAGCAATACAAATATCACACTCCTGTCACTCCCCTCTACGGCTTTAACAATCTCGAACTCTGGAAAAAGGAAGGGGGTCTAATTCTATTGTAAACATTATGATCAAAGAACAAAATATCTGTTCAAACGAAATGTAGTTTTTTTTGTAATTTTTTCCATAGAATCGAATGCTGAAATCAGTTTTTGAAAATCTTCCAAGATTTAAACAAATTATCAACATTTACAAAGAAATTCAAAGATACTGAAGTCGTTTTTGGGTTTTTTTCGTTTGTTGAGCTTCTTCCCCAATAGGGACTGTAATTTTTTTTATTTCAACAGAAAGTATAATATATAAAAACTAAGAAAATAACACCAAATAGAACTCCCTACAATAAACCTCGGAAGGACAATTTTCATTTGAAAAAAAAGTTGTTTGCCAGAAAAAAACGAATATTTAGGAAACCTCTTAATTTTTTATATTGAAAAAATTTGTTGTTATTTGAATCATAAAATAGTATATATTTCAATTAAGTCTCGTTAACAGAAAATCATTTTTGCCGAAATGGACAATACAAAATAAAAAATACGGTTTTCCGCGATTTTTTCGATTATTTTGAGGTGAGAAAGTGAAAGAAAGTTATACAGTTTTTCACGATGTACAAGTTTTCCATTGAACACTTTCGTGTCTGATCTCAACCATTGCCGAAAATTGTCATCATAAGGTTTTCACTCCCCAAACATCCACTTCCCTGGTCCCGTATTTATTTTTTTGTATTTGTTATAGACCATTTTAACATATCCACTTGACAAAGCTAACAATGATCTTTTTTTTGCCTAAAAAATGGTTTATTCGCCTTGACTAATTTAGTGGATATAGGCGCCATATTGGTTTTATTGTGAATTATTTGGATATATTTAATGTAGCAGGTAGGTAGAGAGAGGCAAATAATTGAATCTTTTTATTTTATTTTATAAAATCGATTCAATTATTTGCCTCTCTCTCTCTTTACTTATCTGCGCCATATTGGATTTTTATGGAATGAGATAGATGACAAAAAAGAAATTCAATATGGCTATAAGATATAACAAAATAGTAGCTTCTTAATCTAGCATGTTGTGGAAATTTTGATAACATATTCAGATTCTCCGAAAAATAGTCCCCATAGTATGTTCCGTCCATTATCGACCGTTTAAGCTAGGAAAAATGAAAATGAAATTTGACATTTTCAGTTTTTTGGTGATATCTCTGTGATTTTCGAAGATTTTTCAAACACTGTAAATGTGTTTTCTAGTCAATAAAAAAGAGGCAACTTCGCCCCCATTCAACCTACACTGTATCTCTCACCGTTACGGACATCGCAATGGTGAGCCACGATCACGAATTTGAACCACCCTGTACAGACTTTAAACAAGTTCTTTATAAATTTAATTCGGTAGATTATTTATGTTTTTTTTTAACTTAACGATGTAATGCCATATATTTAAGTTATGGTTTTTTCATTATCATTAGTTCCCTGCTATTAAATTATTAAGAAATAGCCAATAGAAACAAATGTATATGATTTCGTTGATTAGCGACGAACAATAAACCGTTGTCTCTACTAGCCATTTTCTTAATGATGATAGCATGCTACTTCCTTAGTTATAACGCAATAACCCCACCACTTACTAAGCTATTCCGGTTTTAAAAAATGCGCTTTATCTATGTGATTTGTTAATTTTTGTATCATTAATTCTGCGTAATTTTTAAATATTTCTGCCGTAAACCACTTGATGCAATAATCAATTTTTGTTTCAGGACTGTTCCGCTTGGAGCTTTATGCCATGGTTTGAAGTGAGGAATAATTGAAACGTAAGTGCCTAAGTTTCTGTTGTGTTCGTTGTCAATTTCTAATAAGTGTTTTTTTTTTGTACTCCGTGGTCTACATCAACGTCTTTTGTCTTTCATTTAAGTGACTAAAGTGTCACTTTTTCTCCCAGAGGGATTAAAATGAAATGCGAGACGAAAAGTGACAGCAGGTTACCTTCAAATGTAATTACAGATTCTTGGACTAGATTATACCGTTTTCCATATAAATTTTTGAAATTAGAAGGCAGTAATTTCCTCAGAGCTTGTTCTGCGGGAGTTTAAAGAACCATTTCTCCGCCATCTGTTTGTACAAGAATCTTTAAATTAAACTGACATTTATTAGCGAGCTCCTAAAAGCGAGTTCATGATTTTGGACTTTCTGTTGGTCCGTCCGTCTGTGTACATGCGAACGAATTGGAATTTTCCAATTCTGTTTCTAGTTTATCATCACTCAACAAAGAACTGATTAAATTTTCAGTGATCCAGGAGCTCGTATGCTATATTCGTAACAATAGTGGCATTACGCGGTATCTAGAATTCTATTAGCTAACTAAAAGGGTTGTACAGTTTACCAAGTACTGAGACATACAGGGTCCATTCAAAGGTGATGACTATGAACTAGTTGACTAGCTGACGCATATCGTGCATGTATTGTCTTATATCGTTTAAAGAAAAACTGTTGATTTTTTTTAACGTTGATTAATGCATAATTCATTTTTTTCACTACTAGCGTCTGATGACATGATTATTAACCTTTTTTCCACTTGTAAAGTAGGCTTTCTCGGCATTTGTTCAAAGTGGTTAATAGTTTTTTATTATTAACTAGTAGTCAATAATGAGAACTGTCACGCTGTCACTTTTAGAAAACACAACCCGAAATTTCGCTCAATGAACGTTTAGACAAGTTCTCTAAAACGAATAATTGCCACCATTCGCAATTTCCAGAGAAATTACATACCTAAAATTATCACATTTTGAAAAATTCGAACGAAATTACTCTTTGAAAAATCTCAATGACAGAACAAAATACGGCCTGTTTGACTTGTACTTCCACGTACTTGATTGAGATGTTAAATTAAGAAACAAACAATTCTGTCCAACCGTTAACTCTCTTATCAATATAATATGTTAATTTAGAGGATTTCAAGTGCTAGTAGTGAAAAAAATAGTATATATATCACGGTAGAGAAGTCTATTATTGCCTTCGCACCTTACATCCCTCGGCGCAAGCGCCTCGAGATGTAATCTTGGTGCTCAGGCAATAATAGTGGACTTCTCTACCTTGATATATAATGTACTATTAATCTACATATACTCAACAAATAATTAAAATGGAGCAATGCATCAATATAATGCATAAAGGTTTCACAGAGAACAATTGTTTAGTAACCTGTATTTGATCCCATTCTTGTTCAGTCCTTTAGGGGCGGATTCCTCCAGGTGTGGTATGGCTATTCCATAAAACTTTGTCAGTATTTTGTGTGATTGCTTTATTAGTACAGTTATTATAACATTACGTTTGTAATTATTGCGATTGTCGGAGAGTCTTACATTTTTGTGCAATTGAATTCACATTGATCATTGATTTCAATAGAAATAACTGCGAAGAAATGTTACAATACGATCATGAATAATAAACAAAATTAAATGACCGTAGGGAAGAAGGTGGTAGACTGAAAGGTATCATTATAAATAATACATGTGGAGGAATTTTATTTACGTCCCATTAGAAGAAATAACGGTGCAATGATAAACAATGCATGCCGAAATATATATTGTGTGAAATATTCTTCTATGCCACATTGTTTTCGACGCCCTTGCGTATAGGCGAAAAATAGCAACGGTATAACTAATTAAAATTGCTCGGTGTGACCCCTGGCGATAGATTAACAAGCGATGAGATAACATAAATTAATTCTCATTAACATTCTAATGAGTAATTATACCCTCACATTTTTTTCCCCATATACTTCTTCAGGAATTTTAAATCATCATTAATACTCGATAAAATTGATATAAACGCATATCTGTAACTATATGCCAGTAATTTAATAATTAAGTCTCGTTACCTTGGTATGAGCCGGCATGATTTTACTATTTTTTCAATGCACGCATACGTGCCCAACCCATTGTGAAAATAAAATTCAATAACAAGCACAACTAAACTGAAACGATCATGTAAATGAAGTTTTTGTACACTAATCTTGTAAAATTGTATGAAATTACGTGTCATCAAGTGATGTTCGTAACTATAGACGTAGTTAGTACCAACATCCTCCGAGAGTGATAGTAGATGAACTTGTCTAAACGAAAAAAAAATCTACTCAGTAGGAGGTCTATAAGTCTGATGTTCTACAAACATAATTTAACAACTTCTTTTAGACAAAAGGAGCGCAAAAAGTAAATTATATACTAAATAGGTTATAAGAAAAAGTGCAAGTACACACCGAGCATCGCGATCGTTCTATCAATTCAAAAGTCATTAGGGCAGCTATAAGTAATTTATAATAGGTTTAGCAATTCTTAGTTGTCAGATCTTGCGAGGTTCATTATCTTTATAATAACTACCGACAATATAAAAATTAGGAGCTTTAGTTCAATGGAGCAGTGGTACGTAAGGACGTAATTCCCTCAAGTAATAGAGTTATTAGGTATATTCCACATATAAGAAACTTTAAATAAAGGCTCTTGATAGTATTAGCTGTAGCAATTTGTGCCTTCTAGCAATCCAATAGCCGTATAATTATTTTGAAGTATTGTGTGTAATTTTTTTCGTGCAAAATTTTTTTCAGATACAATACCAACTTGTTGCGCATTAATTATATGAATTGCTTGTCATTATCGTTAGATGACTTTTAAGAAATGAAATTACGCCAGATTATCAATATACACGTTCGTGCTTTCTCACAAACAACACGTTCATAATTCTACTTTCAATGTACCTGATAGTGCCTTGTAATTACTTTTCCTTTTATTCTTTAATTAACATAAAGTGACCACGCTCAAGTTGATAAATAAAGATTTTAATTAAAAGCTATTCTACCGATCCTGTGCGAAAGTGAAATGCATTTTTCATGCCTTGCTCGGTATTTCAATACAACTACTGAATTGCAATTCAATCGCAATATTAGAATTTTTGAGTTTATTTTTCTGCATTTGTTGTAATTTAAGAACATTATCAGATTTTGAATTAATAAAGAAAATAAATTTTACCAATTGTCTTAGTGTATCGAAAGAGTTCCGTCAGTGCAATAAGTTCCCATCACACTGATATTCCCTTGTTGAATTGTGTCTGTTTGAACCATATACCTTCGTGTTGATTATCTAGTGGCGCGCACCAGTTATTTACAGAATGTTGTTATGAATGTCCTAGCACTTGGACCATAGGGACCGTGCGTCTCTACTACGATAGGGATAAGGTACTCGGTGGAAAGTAGGACCGGTGTCAAGTTAGCCCCCCACTTTTGGAATTTTCAGAATATTTTTATTGCAAATTGTTTGATAGTGTTTGTTAGTTGTATTTTCACGTTTATTGGTTGAACGTTATTTAATGATTCAAATTTCAAAATTTGGGCGTAGAGTTAGCCCCCCACTTTTTGAATTTTCAAAACATTTCCATTGCAATCATTTGTTGGTGTTTGTTAGTTATAAATAATAAATAATGTTAGTGAAAATAACAAAATGTGAATTTATAATCATCTAATAGCTCAGCCTCAGGTTATTAACTTTATTTATTTTTATAGTTTCTAATTATTTATTAGTTAATGAACGATCACTCTGCATTCATATAGTCTTTTCTTTAGAGTTACACTAATTTTTTGATTCGTTTCTATATAGTATTAGATTATCTAGTATGTTCAATTGTTATTAATTCTTTTTTTTTTTAATTATAATATAATGCTTGCACATTCTCCAATTAAGGCATATTGTCCTGTAACTGGATATGTATATCTGTTGGGCAATGAATTATTATAATTATTATTTAAAAAACCAAAAAGTTAATAGGTTTCCATACAGAAATTAAAAAATTACATCGAATCAGCTACAAATATACAGGATGTTCCATTAAAAAGATCAGTTGTTTATTAACACCGTAGAAATGGGACACCCTGTACATTCAAATATAATGTCTGTAGATGCGCAACCATCTATGGTTGACATTTGCACAAAAGGTTTTTTGATTTTTTTTACCAAGTATTAGCTAGGAAAGACCGACGTACTGTTGCAGGGCCCTGTATATTCTGCAGGCCCTATGATTATGAAAGAACATTTTCGGATAAAAACGGAAAAACTTGCAAAATACCTAATAGCGTTGAAGGATCACAAAGATTCTCAAAGACTCTTGTGAAAGTGATAATGGTAACTGATCGGTATTTCCGGATTTTTAAAATATTGCTAAGTCCTTTTTTTCTAATTTAACCGACGGTGTATTTCTTGTGGTTTCCAATTTCTCCATACTGTTCATTCATATCTTAGACACTGTATAAGTATATCGAGACTAGGTACCTACTTAGTTTAGGCTCGCATTAACAGATACCTGTTAAATGAATATTTCTCTCATGACTATATATTGTATTCAGAGTTGGGCAGAATACTTTCAAAAAGTATTTGAATACTAAATAGTAAATACTTTACACAAATCAAAGGTATTTGAATACTAAATACTTTTACGTCCAGCACAAGCGAATACTAGATACAGATACATTGAAAAGTATTCAAATACTTAAAAAAATAAGTATTCAAATACTTTAGAATGTATTCGAATACTTTCAAAGGTATTCGAATACTTTGAAAAGTATTTCATTATCTTAGGTACGCCTTTCTGAAATTAATCCTAGCGATTTTGGAACAGATCCATTTTTGACCATCCGTTTATCCATGCGCATGATAACTTGTTTAGAAACGTGCGATCGCTTTGAAAATTGGTACCTACACATGGTTTTAAGGATATAAGAAAGGTCCCTATTGTGTTTAATTTACGTAGACTATCGAGTTCGGTATTCAGATTTATCGGATTTTTATATTTGATTTTATGACAAGAAACTTTCCCTAAACATTTCTAAATTGTTCTCAAATATTTGAATAACTTAAAAGCACTGCCTTTTTTTGAGACCGGAAAAAAATTGTCTGAGATCGAGATCGATCGAGAGTCCATAATTTCAAACAGCCCTTTGAATTTTTTTTTCGAAATTGGTTTCTGGTCTATAACTTTTGATTGAAAAATCTAATCGAAAAAGAACGAATTGTTTTGGATTCTACGCACCAAAATTAATAAGAGAAAGTGTTTTCCCGAGAAATTTTGGAGTAGGTAGTCGATTTTTGGTAAAAAAAGGAAGGTTAAGTATTCAAATACTATGCGAAGTATTCGAATACTTTACGAAGTATCCAAATACTTTGCGAAGTATTCGAATACTAAATATTTGTGAAAGTATTTGAGTTACAAAAACAAATACTGCTTCCATAAAAGTATTTAATTACAAAGTATTTGAATACTAAAAAGTATTTACAAAATCGAATACTGCCCAGCTCTGCTTGCATTGAATATTTGGTAGTATGAAAATTGTAACAAAACGGCGCCCACGTGGTGCATTTAACAGTAAACGATATTTCTCTAGAACATTTTCTGGATGAGTCACTACACCACGACAAGGCAGTCATGATAGTTTGTAGATAAAAACGCAGTCCGTTCAAGCCTTACGCGAACATCAATCCATCACCAATCTAAATAGCGAGCAGATTGAAAAAAAAGTGATTCATTCAGTAAAGTGTAGAATATACGACAGAATTAACGTCATGTTAGGGTTTTTCTACTCGGCCCATTTGATGACAAAGTGTTCATCTCACAGAAATCGCTTCTTTGTTTTTGTTTACATGTCGATCAATATCACCTCACGACTTTGCTACTACTAAACGTCGCCACCTTCCGGACACGTGCTGTTTTATACCCGCAATTTTTAAAGAATCCCATTTATTGTCAGTTCTCTTGCCTACAACTTCCAGTTTTTGCTTGTATCGGAGAACGGCACAGCTGCACGTCGGAAGAAACAATTTTCTATAATTATTTTAAATATGTCCCATGATTTCTTTTAAAACGAGTCTATATAATTTTTCAATTGAATTACATTATATGTATATGAAAGGCTCATTTCCTGGTATATATTGGATTGAATTCCTGTTTAATAGACAGGCTCAAACATCGCGAAACGGAATTTAATTTACTCCATAAATCTTTGGATAGTTAGTCTGGCGTGCGAAATTGCAAAGTGAATTACATGCTCCTTGTACGTCCACCTGTGGCACATTTTAATTAAGTGCTACGCACTCCGACATTTCTGCTACAAAAGTTAAATTGCACTTTCACTATTATTTATTTTGAATTCATAATATTATTATAATAATAATTATTATTATTATTATAAAAAGATATGAAAATTTGGACCTGCGAGAGTCAACAGAGAACAACTACAGTACCTACCTATTTTTATTAATAATTTATTGTAAATAGGATTGGAAATTTTTTCAAAATGTAAATATCGATTTACATGAAAATTTCATTAAGTTTAACTTGCCCTCCACTTCAAAATCTATATTATACCAATGGGCGCTCTTCATTTTTTAGGGGTGAAAACTACCCCTTTTTGCCAAAACCCATGAAACTACATATTAAAGCTGTGTAAATGTGAGCAAAATTTGGTTCAGATGAGTTGAGTAATGATTGTTACAGACTTTGGAACATTATTTCAGAGTTTTTTCAACCCATAAAAATCAACCTTTATTGTTTAATAAACATCAAATACCTTTAAAACTCTTAATTTATAAATGGGTTGAACCTAAAGGCCTAAAAAAGGTAGTACTCGCATAACGTCTATATTTCACTGAATTTTTGTCGTACAGCCCTGTGAGGCAAATGTGCATAATGCATTTTTAGCGCATTTTTGCAAATTTATTTGTAAAAAGTAGCTTTTAATCTCACTTTGGCTGGTTGGCTGGCTGGCTGGCTGGATGGCTGGCTGGCTGGCTGGCTGGCAGCAAATGTGGGCGCGTAGAAGAACTCTTGTAGAAAGGCAACGGGTGTACGTGTATCTACAGGGCCGTGAAATTTGTCAACCTTAGGGACATGGCTACATAATGTGGGGTTGGCGACATCTGGGCATCATCCTCGAGCGTAGTATACTAACGTGAAGGTTTTTCAGTTTTTTCCTATCTTCTACTACAGTTTTGGTCCGATTCTTTTGAAATTGGTGTCGTCGGAAAGATGTTGTAAACGCGCACAACTCCTGCGTGGCGGAATTTTGTTTTTTGTCATAGGGGCGAAATTAACGACCTTTTGCGAGGCGCGCGCGCGCGTCTTCGAGAAGTAGTCTACTTCGGGCGCCTTTTACCTTCCGTTGCGAACTCACGCGGTTTAACGTTTAGTGAACGGGACGTCGGAAGTGGGTACCGTGAAAGGGAATGTGGTAGCCCCCGACACGATCTTACTGATGGTGGAGTCAACACTTTAAAAGCAAATTGCGGGTGCACGTGGAAAGTGGGAAGCGGTTAGTGAATGTAGTAGCCTTCGACAAGATCTGTTATTGATGGTTGAGTCGAAAGTGGCTAATAGAATACTGATCTGCCACACAAAAATGCGCTGAAGTCCCTTCGATCTCAAACGAGGAGAAATTTTTTACGTATCTCCCAGTTGTTTTGTAGTTATTTTGACCAAAAGGACGTTTTTCACAAATTTGCAGACATTCGATTTTGATTTTTAGCTTCAATTATTTCAGAATTAAGTCTTCTAAACTGGTTCCACTTCTCGAATGTATTAATAATACGTAATTAGAGAAAACTGGAAAAGGGGAAGGACTAATTTTAATTAGGGTGGTAGTTATAGGGAGTTAATTTTTATGCCAACGTTTGTTCTTTAAAAAAAAAGAAGAAATGTTTTTTTAAATACTTTAAAGAATATTCTAAGTGTTTCTCGAAAAATGCATAGTTTTGCCGTTATTTGACTGTGAAGCACTCTACTCTACTGTTTGACAAACACGAGCTAACCTTTAACAAGGCACAACTCGGTTCGTATTGGTCATACAGCAATTATTAAAAAAGCATTTTCTTTGCTTTTTTTTAAAGCTGCGCTTTTGTTCTACACAGTTTTTTTATAAAATGCATTTTTTTCGAATTTTTCGCGAATAACCAATTAAAAACACTGTTCTTTTCTATGAAAAATTTATACTTTCGGTCGCCAATATAACTGGAGAAGTATTTATTAACTTTCAAAAAAAAATGTATACTTTTTGCTTAGAATTAATTTTTCTATCTATTCCTGTGTTAAAATGACAATAAATATTGCAACCCCCGAAATGGGGTGGCAACCACCACCAGGGCGAAAGCACCCTTTGGTATGCTATAGATTTTGGTCCTTAGGCTATACCCTACCTACTGTCAAAATTTCAAGTTTATCGATTCATTTTGAAAAAATTGCCAAGGCAAAACTGGGGGAAACTGAAGAGGGTAGAGAGGCCGGTACACACAAATTATCACAATCTAAAGCCCAATGTTCGAATAATTCGCCTCTAATGGAAAGGGGTTGTTTTCAGTAGGTAGATAATTAAGTCTCGACCATAAAGAAACCATGATTTATTACAGTATCATAAACTTCCCTGTCTGAATCTCGGTCGCGTTATTTCAGCATTGCGATGCTTTTGCATTGCAAAAAGTAGGTACTTGGCTCAGACAAAGGAAACATTAAATTCGCTATTGAATACACCGGCAGTACACCCGTAATGTGCTTTCGAAAATACGGTTAGCGTAAATTACACTTAAGCGACTAAAAAACAAAGAGTTAATATATCAAAGGGAAGTGTAGATTGTAGTATACGTATATACTTAGATCGTAGCAAAAAAAATGGCAATTATAACACAATACGGTAATAAACCATTGGCAAACGGTAATTAGTTTCGACAATAGTCGCAAAAACTCTCATTATGAATAACATGCGAGAAAGACACTCCCTTAATACTTGAAATAAATCTTGAAGCTTCGAATATTAATTTTTACGCAGACCTCGTTATTATCTAACTGTACAAGTTACCGCGAAAAATGATTTGCCGGTGGTATTTTTTTCACAAGCTTAGAACAATGAAAACGGCAACAAATTATCACAATTCTACAGCGTTTAATAAGTCGCCGTGATACTTATTGGCTATTTCGCGTGCTGCCGAAGGCTGCTAACATCTTCCGTGTGGTGTAGGTGGGTAACACTGCATTGTTATTTCTTATTATTACTTATCAAACCACAAAGAGATGTTATTTCATTTTTATTACACCCTGTTTATTGTTGCTAATTTTTATATTTTGTTTCAGATTATTCTCCCTGGAGTGACAGTCTATACCTAGACCTGTAAGTAGTTTTCAAGCTTTTTTTAACGGGTAAATGACGTAATTAACCATTAAAAAGATAACAGTCATCATCCTACTTGCGATTTCCTTTTTTAAGCTTTTTTTTATCGCGAGGCAGGAGGCACAGTTATTGTTATTGGGAAGGTCAAAAAGGTGGGGCAAGTGGAACAGGTTGAAACTTAAATACATTAATTACCGTCTGATATTTACCTTTCTTCGTGCCGATCGTGTGGTCTTGCAAAATGCCTTTATTTTGATAGTTCGGGCAATGGGCGTCGAAGCCAAAAACTCCTGTCGGCGGCGTATGACCGCAAACCAATTCTGAAATTGATTTATTACCTTACCACAATGTAATTTACTAAGTAGCACTTAAACGGCCTACACATCTTGTGCAAGTGTACCGTTATGCGGGACATTTTAGCGCATCCTTATGGTTATACACTTTCGCTTTTGGTAATTCGATGTAGAGACAAGAATTTTGATCGCTCTACGTAGGGGGAATATACAACGGTATCATTTCGAGATCTATTTGAATCGTAAATTTACACTACTCCTCCTACGCCACTGTCTGTAAATAATAACGCATTCCGACAGTCCTTTCACTAATCTCAACAACCTTAACACTTAACAGTAAAATAACCGATATGAATACCTATATATAAGATTCCAAGGTCTGTTGGTTGGAAAATGGCTTTCTCATGATTGTTCCTAGGGAATGCAATACCGGGACGGGATTGCGGGATCCCGAAATACCGGGATCCCGCAGCATTTTTGCGAGATTAATCCCGCACATAAATGGAGCGGGACCCCGCGGGATTTGCGGGACTGAGGAATTTGTCGATCAAGGGGACGACTCTGTTTACTTTGTTAATGAAACTGATAACGGCGAATTTTTTTTTAAATAATTGTTAAACTTTTTTCGTTAAAAATGTACTATGATTTTTGAGGCACTTTAGAAGACTCTTTGTGCTTTACAGGTAAGGTTTTTTTGAGTTCTAAGTTAGGCCGAAGGTACTTTTTTGTTAAATATTGTGATAATTAGCGATTTATTTTAATACAGAAGTTAACTGCACAGAATTGCTTATTTGCCAATTTATTTAAAGTTTTGCAAGATCCCGCAATACCGGGATCCCGCGGGATTAACATCTAACAATCCCGCAAATACCGGGATTGAGATTTTGCTGCGGGATTGCATTCCCTACTAGAAACCAATTTCGAAAGAAAATTCAAAGTGCTGTAACTTTTGAACTAGTAGCCCAATCTTGGAACTGTTTGAAATTATGAATTTTGCAGGCCACATTCTATAAGAATATTTGCCAATTTATTTAAAGTTTTGCGAGATCCCGCAAATACCGGGATCCCGCGGGATTAACATCTAACAATCCCGCAAATACCGGGATTGAGATTTTGCTGCGGGATTGCATTCCCTAATTGGTCCTTATTAAATTTTCCCAAAGTTAATGAACAGTTCGCCAAAATACAAAAAGAATAGGAAAACAGGTTCAACCCACTTTAGCCAGCTTTGACTAAAACGAGGAACTGGAATATCTCGATATAAAAGCCTGTTAGGAGTTAAATCAAATTCTAAGATTTACAATTAGGTACTTTTGTTAAGTGCAAGAAATGAAAAACTGAAAGCACTCATACTTTCATTCAAGCTTGAATACATTCCATTTTGGAAATTCGAAATTAAGTAAATAATACTCAAATTACATTCAAGCTCCTTCATTTCAATTCGAATGAAGCCTCCATTTAAGTACAAACTATAGACTTTATTAATTGAAATCAAACAGCTGTTCCGACTGTCCTAATTATGTTAACTCGCGAATTGCTTAATTTAAAACAAGTTTTTTTGAGTTGCAATTTAAACTTATCAAAGGAGCAAAGAGCCCCCTCTCGATAAATATAGCATGCTACCACCTTATAACCCAACCATTTACTCAGGTACTTTGGTTTTTAAAAAAATAGGCTTTATCTGCACAAAAGTTCAGGATTCCGTTACCCGTTCACTTTACTTACTGACTTTTTTAAGGTAAACTATCCCTTTTTGACCCACTTGTAGACAAGTTGATTATTTTTCCGAAATGAAACGTATTGAAAATCTATCATTGGTGTCTTGTAGACCTATCGTATGGTTCGATGTTATCTGAAAAACTATAAGAATTTAAACTTGGAAGTACTTTAATCCAAAGATCATTTTAATTCATTTTTGAGTGCAAAACCAAAGAGAGTTTTCGATTTCAAAACCCTACGTGTACAAAATTTGCGATTTGCAAATAATTTGCTCAAGTAGATCGTTACTATTTCTCATATTGGAGCAAGTAATCTAAAATCAAAGGTTCCGTGAAAGGAAAGTCACACTTTCAAATTAGAAAATACGGTCGAGGTATTTGAACTAAAAACAAGACAACTCTAGTTTTATCTTCCATAAATATAGAGAAATTAGCATTAGTTTATATTCAATTGGAATAATTGCATAAACAGAGCTCGACTTGTGAGAGATGGCGATCTAAAAGTGCAACTTTTGTTCGGTTATTTAATCGAAATCCTCTTCTTTGATTTACATTTTTTCCCATCGGATCACGATTAAAGGTTATAATGGTTTCAGTTCGAGTTTCTTATTTTTCCATCATTACGAATCAACGCTTCAATGCATGTGTAATAAATCATGCAGAAATATCTCAAGGTCCTTCATATACATGATATTCCAAGAGATAGTTGCGTATATATGCGTGTGCTTCTTTAATCAGCTTCAATTGTTCATATAGTGATCCTGAGCATTATTATTAATATTTGTTATGGAACGAGTTTTCTTCCTTGGCGGCGGCAGTCACTGACTCATGAAACCTTGCACTTAACGTCTACATTTTTACCTTTTATTTCTGTTTGATTTTAACATCTTTATAAGAAACGTGGTTATTAAGCTTGTGCTAAAAATATTAAACGTTAAAACGCAACCTTCTAATTGCATAAAAATGAAGCTGTTTCACTATATGCAAAATGACGGTATGAAGTTATTAAGTTAATATATAATTAACACGTTGCGCTATACCTTCAAAGGCTTTTGAAAGAAAATGTGTAGGCACTTTCATTTTCAACGTGAAAGTCTACGTGATCGCAGAATAAAAATCTAGTGTCGCCATCTGGCGTCCAAACACTTCACTGAGTGCTTCCCTGCAATAGGAATGGTTAAAAATCTAATCTATGGGACTAGAAGATCTCTTGGCTAAATTTCAACCGTATCCTTTAGATCAAAGAGAAGTAATACGAACTTCAATTTTTCTTCGAAGGCTTGAAATCCTCTTATACCATTAAACGAATCTCAAAAACAAATCAAAAGGCAGGCCTAAAAGTTAAAAAAATTGTTTTTCAAGATTAAACAATTTCAGCAGAACAAATATTAACATTGTCTAGGGCCAAGTGCTAATGATGTACTAATTTATTGTCCAAATTTAACATTTATTGCTCGTTTCTATTCCGAATTATAACCCATTTCGTTAGGTTTAGAGCGACAGTGACAGAATAAAAGGAATGATAGTCCTAATAGAATTTATTGCTTCGTCTGCATTGCACAAAGTTGCGTAATTAAATTGGTTGCTTAATTACAGATGCTTTTAGTGGGTTTTAAAATATAAGTCGACATTATTGCTAAGCTGGTAAAAACGAAGCATTTTTACGACGAATGTAACACACTTCGTTTTGTAAGGGTGGCTGATTTGGATTTATTTTTTCGATCGTTTAGCATAAATAGATAAAGGTTTTGAGGTTTTGTGGATTTGAGTAGTTGAGGGCCATCGAAATTTACAGGTTATCAAAATTTGGAATTCTCCAGATGTATTTCTGCGTATTTGTTTTCTATAGGGTCTTGGTTTCTTAATTACTTTAGGAAACCGGTAGATACACATTATCATTTTTATTCATGCTTAAGAAACAATATAGGGGTATGTCCCTTTGGCCAGGACATAACCCGTCTCATAATACGATACAGTTTTCAAACATACAAAAATTGAGAGATGGTGGAAAAATACCATTGCAAAAAAATCAAAACATAAAGCAAACAGAAAACCCCTACTCATCGTACAAGCCGATGACAAACATCGTAATTAAATTTTGAATCACCTTCCTGCGGGTTGTTAAAATATAAAATACACGCTGAAAGTTAACTATACGTACACAAGATCTCCGAAATGCCCTTAATTTTCGCCTTAAAATTATAGGCATTAATTGATGAAATTTAGGCATTCCGTCCAAAGTTAATGAAGTTCATCTATAAGTTAAATGCGAAGGCGAAATTTGCCTACGTAATTCCCGATTCGAATTGGATGCATTTGCATTTTATCGCTATCAATCTTAATCGCTAGAAAATGAAAATGAATCGAACGAATGTTCTCCAATAGCGGAAAGGAAACCTGATTTGTCTATTCTTAGTAAGATGCAACGATGTATCAAACTAGCACAGATGTTCGCGCATGCATAATAAATTAATTACCTAGTACGTAACAAGTAAACATAGGCAATGTTTACACTGATTCTCCTTTACATTAACCATTGTTTGTACTATAAAAGTGTAAACACTTGAGATATTCCCATAAAAGGTAGAGTTTAAGGTCGCTTTATTCTCAATAAACACACTCATTTGGCGTGTGATGCATATAAAGGAGCATTTCCAATCAGCAACTCGTAAACTTGTAGAAAATTGAGTGCACCTACATTGTGTCGAAAGAAATTAAAACTTGTGCCCATCACTCAAGAAATTCAAATACGAACGCCTAAGTGGGCAGTTTTTATCCTATTTTAATTAACTTTTTAAATTATGCTCAGCCACCTTTGACCTTGAAATGCGTGCATCTTTTGTTTCTAGAACGACCTTGTTCTCCTCCACTTAGAAAACGCACATGTAATCCTTTTAATCAGATTTATGGTGTTTCAGTAATGTTTTTTGACAGTGATTTATTATGTTGGTTGAGGTTTAATTTAATTTAATAATAAAAAAAAACTTAA